CTCTCTCTCTCTCTCTCTTTTTAACATATATACACACACATACATACATATACATTCACTCACACATGTTGTGTATACACTCATTCTAACGCAAACACACACACATATATATAAATATCGACTGCTCAATGCAAGATTCCGCTATACTTCATTCAGAGTCTTACGCTGAGCAGTTGGTATACTTGCCCACATGTGCACTCTCACACTCTCTCACTCACAAACATAAACACAAACACATGTGTCAGTGGGTGGTTGGCAGGTGCTCTAGTGTGGTTTGCTTCTTCTTTCCTATCAAACATCTATCGTCCTTATCTCCCCTTCTTCTTTTTTATGTTTGTTACTCTCTTGTAACACCTCTAATCGTCTGGCGCTCATATGACCTTATGCAGTTGCGAGCCCCATAAAACCTCTACTAAAACACATGTGTCATTATCGCATCATGTTCTGTTAGCCAACACAAACTCTCAGACCCACGTACATACACTTTTAGCATACATGAGCACCCTCAAATCTCTCACTCACAAATCTAAGCATAAACATCTATGTCATTATCACATCATATTCTGTTATCCGCATACAGAAGACAAGCTGATCTACTTGGACCCACACTATTGCCGTGACGCTGTGGACACACGAGGAAACGACTTTAAGATCGAGGTACTGGAAAGCCATAGGATTTAGCCAAAAATCTGTAACTTCGATCAGGCTCCTTTAGAGAAATCAACATCTTCTGTTTGAATTTGGTTATGAAAATGACTTGCAATAGTGTGGGATATTTCTTAGCTGTACCCCGGAGGTTTCTTTCTCTGCTTCTTTCACCGCCAAAGGGGCTCTCCGCTTACTCTTTTCTGGGCAGTCTTATTACCTCCAGCCAGCTCGTATGCCCCAAATGTCTGATATCTGTCTCAAGATCTCATTCCCAGATGGATACCTGTGAGGTACTTCTGTCTTTTTTGTTGACCCTAAATGACCTCCTAGTTGTGTGTTAGTTTACTTTTTAACTGTCAATCAAACAACTATCAAATAAAGGCCCTGCATCTTCTTGGTCCTTGCCTGTAAAGGATGAATTCAATTCTCGCATGGAAAAATCTATTTTGTTGAGCATCTCTATGTTCTACTTGAATGCTGTTTCCCACTCAGACTCAGGGCCGCTATAGTGTGCATGGAAATGATCCTCTTCATAAATGCACTAATTGTGTTAAATCAGATGATAAATTTTACTATCATTTTGCTGTATGCACTCGGATGTACCACTGCATGTTTTTTCCCAACACAAAATGAATAGCATTTGCAAGTGGGAATGTAGCTTACTGCTCTGTGACTTACTCAAACAGAAACATACAATTTACATCCTCAGCTAAAATGTTTCGTGCTATCTTGCTGTTTTTTGTCTCCTGAAGGAACAGCATCTGTTTGTGTCAGTGTACTTCTCTTTGACTTGAATGGTTAAATGTGAGCTTTCTGATGGAATTAACTCTAACTCTAACAAATGAATAAATTGTGCCCTCAGACGTACCACTGCATGTCGCCACGGAAACTGTCTTTCTCCAAGATGGACCCCAGCTGTACTGTAGGCTTCTACATCAAGAATGAAAAGGAGTTTCAGGCATTTCGAGAAATTATACAAGAGGTGAGACTTCAGGGGAGATGGGAGGGGGGATAGGCTGTGTATACGGTAGCTAGTGATATGCTGTGGACTTGAAATGTGTTTGCGTTTGAAAAATAAAAGGACGTATAAGTTTCTTTGTGAAATATTATATTTTCTGCCTATGTTGAAATGTTTTCTTTGTGGATTTGATGAGTGCTACAGCGGCCTCTGCCATAACGCTTGCCGTTACAAGGCTCCCTCCGCATGAACACACGCTTTCATCATATCATGGGTTTTTCATTGTATAATATATACGTACAAACGCATGGTAACTTCCTCTAAATGCATGCTGAGATCCACTCAGCACATCAACAGAACGAGTTTTAGGAAAGTGTGTGCGGGGCACAGCGAAAAAAAGTTTGCTCCGAGGAGTGGTCAGGCGTGTCTCAAACCAGCTCCTCATGGAGACAGTTAGCAGGAAGACCCTGAGGTGGACGCTGGAAAGGAGAGATGAGCCGCTATGGACATGTGCCGCCTGCTATGATTCTAGTTCTGGATCCAAGTAAATCCAATCCAAGTAAATCCAAGAACGAGTTGGAGTTCCCAATGTGTTCAGTTAGAGACTACTGTACTGTTATACCATGACATGTAGAAGCTGCTTCTTTTGTCACAGGTTCAGGAGGTTTATGGGTGCTCTAGTATGATCCGTTCCTTCTACTTTGGTAGTAAAATCTAAACTGTGTTGCTACTGAATTGTGGCTTTTACTGTGCCAAATCAACATAAACAGCTTCTCGACTACTCATTTTTCCCTGTACTGTATTGCTTTGTATGCCCCTTTATGTAGCTTAAAGAATACTGTTTTAGAGCCAGCTCGGTGGAATTGTTTCAATACAATTTATAAATTCTTTGACATGTTATTCCTTCTTTTCTTTTCCTCTTTTGTTTCTGCTCGTCTTTCTTGCTTTTACTCCACCGTTGGCGGGTGCTCTGGTGTGGTTTGCTTCTTCTTTCCTATCAAACCACTATCGTCCTTATCTCCCCTCCTTCTTTTTTGTGTTTGTTACTCTCTTGCAACACCTCTAATCTTCGGCACTTATATGACCTTATTGTGTTGCAAGTGCCGTAAAACTCTTTCGAAACTAAAACTAAACTAAAAACTAAACTTCACCCTAAATAGACTTTATCGTGTTGATGTGTTTCTCTTTACTCAAAAACTTGTTACGTAACTGTTTTCTACAAAACCCATGCTTGAATCAATGTAAAAGCATGTCTAAACAAAAGCCAAGTCTTGTTACTGAACCTTTATCATATGCAAAATGTGAAAGTAAATTCGACTATATACACAAAAGACAATTTTTAATGTTTTTCTTAACCCATATCATGGTACCTTTATCCCTTACTGTTTTGAAAACACCCCCTGAGGCAGTGCCACTGACTGTAGTGTCTTTAGGCCATTCCCAAAGGGGGGACATTTCTCGTTCAAGCACAGTAGAATTGTGAATGGGCTGATTCATGTCACGCTCATAACTGTGCCTGAACTACAACAGGGAACTGCTGCTTTTTTTTTCCTAATCCTTACTATTGTCATTTTCCTCTTCTTTTTTTGTATGTTTGTCACTCTCTTGTGACCTGCTATTTCCGGGGTGCCTTGATAGTCGAAGCAGACCTTGTGCTGTTGAAGCTAGAGAGGTGAGCAGAGTAAGTCTGATTCCCTGTAAAGACTTCTCAATTGACACCCACCCCTTGGCGCTCATTTGACCTTATGCAGTTGCGAGCGCCATAAGACCCTCTACTATATAAAAGTGTTTTGAAAACATATTTTATCGAGCTTTTCCCCTTCTCAGGTGGCCTCCCCTCCCCAAGACCGAGCCTCGTATCCGATGTTCATCTTTTCCGAGGGCAGCCACCGAGACGCTCATGGGGGTGACTTAGACAGTGGGAGTGTTGACAAGGGCATGGTCAAGGTCACACACTATCGCATCGATGCCAACGGCCAGAAGATGCGGGCCTTCTCCAAAGAGTCGGAAGATTTCATCGTGTTGTGAAAGGCAGCGGAGTCGTGGCATAGAAGTGTCAGAGGAGGCGCTAAGGGACGCTGTTGCTGTGCACGCATTCTCAATAGTTTCATGGGTTTTAATTGTGTTGTTGTGAATGGTTCTCTGACCAAAAAAAAACTCAGTGTGGAGTGAGTACCAAAGATGAGATGCTCGTGCACTGTGTGTGTGTTACAGGAGTACACACTCACTTAATTGTTCCTGGGAGCAATATTTTTCAGGTTTTGTCTCCAGCATTCCTTGAGGCCTTTCAAGCCTTCACAATGTTTTCTGTGGCCTCATAAAGTGAATTCTTCTCTACAGAAAAAGAAACTCAATGGCAAAGACATTTGTTGTTTGACATACCACGACTGGTGATTGCTTTCGGCTTTGGTCGTTGTGGTTCAGGGTGAAATGACACCAATGACAGTGCAATGGCACCAGGTACCTTGGCACGGCAGATGTTGTTCTGACAAGTGTCTGCCATAGCTGATGGCCATTGCAGTTGTTGCTATTGTGGGTTTTGTTGTGTTGGATGTCACTTTGGCCAGAGCTGCAAGATGTGTCAGGTCATCACACTGTCATAGCTACCAACGAGCGATGATATGGCGATGGCCCCATCATGGCAAGCCTCACTCTCACTGGTGGGATGACTGTGGAGTTTGCGATGTCATTACAGTTCTTTGTAGCAGATTCATCACAACATGTACCCTGTGCTGGGTTTGTGATGGGTGGTCACCTCAACATGTAGGACAAGCTCACTGACACAGGTGATGACGTCAGCTGGCACAGTGGGACTTTCTGGTTGACATGTCATCTGAATATGTGGCAGTATGGAAACGACAGCTACCAGTTACCAAATGAAGCAGGCACAGTAAACAATAAAAGTAAAACAGTAAAAACTCCAGCGTTTTGAACATTACCCCATGTTGTACGCTCAGCGTCATCCCTGCACTGACACAAACGGACATATTCTGACGTGCAACACTTGTACTGCCAACTGTGGACTTTTAGTGCACTTCATTTCTTTCCCCTGGCACAAACAGACATATTCTGACACAAATGGACATATTCTGACACAAATGGACATATTCTGACACAAACGGACATATTCTGACACAAATGGACATATTCTGACACAAATGGACATATTCTGACACAAACGGACATATTCTGACACAAACGGACATATTCTGACACAAATGGACATATTCTGACACAAATGGACATATTCTGACACAAACGGACATATTCTGACACAAATGGACATATTCTGACAGGGAGATGCGATCACTATCTCAAGAAAAATGAACGATTCCATTTTTTTTTAAAATCACCCTGTTAAGATGGGTCAAGCAGAATCAAGCACATTTCTTGAGATATTTATAATGTGTTTATTTTATACTTACAAAAAATGTGTCCTTCCCATGGATTTTTCTTTTCCAAGAGCAGTCCCTTGTGATAAAAGTGTTGTGATCCTTTTGTACATTTGTATTGATGCCTTGTAAAAATGATAAATCATTTTTATGACTGCTCTGTGAGAAGATCAATGCAACAGATGCCACAGCTGTGAATTGACAGGAAGCACTTGGTTAGACAGTGCCTGACTGTTGACCAGAGCTTTGTGATGACCTTTGACCGCCAAATGTGTGTGCGCCTGAAGAAAGGTCCCAGTTGTCAGAAATTTGGGATATTGAAATAGGGACATATTCTTGCCTCAAATTCAATGCTGAACACGCTGATTTTCTAATTTTTTAAATATCTTGAGTACTTTTAATCATCCCACTACATGGATATTTACTAGCACCTGGTACGCCGTGACCCAAAAATAGACCAGGTTTTTATATATAGTAAAATACATCGTGACCCAGTTTTGGGTCATACTTAATTCAGAGGGGGGGAAAAAATGCCTGTTGATCTATGAGTTTTTAAATGTGATTTGCAAACATGATAAGTACTTGGCTGGGGACAACTGTTATAAATAAATGTATCTCAGACATACTTTAGACTGTTACAGTCGACTACGGATGAGTTGATGTTGTTTGGGGGAATGAAAAAAGATCAGCTCATCCGAAGTTCAACATAACCGTCAGGACCACAAAACAACGGGACAGCACAGTACTTTCCTCTGCTCATGCTCATAATTTTAAATAATTTTAGTCGGGTACTGTGGTAAAAATGGTGGCGACAGAGGATAATAAGTGTATGATGCCGTATCTGCTAACATAACTATAGTCACAAAGTTTCGAATGCATGAAAGCATGTCTAATACAATTAATGAAGATTACATTGGTGGCTCACACCACTGGCTAGCCACTTGCTGAACAAAAGAATTTTTCAAGCTGACTGTTCAATTTTTGGGTCATGACAGGCTGGGGGGGGTTAAAGATATATCACATTTTGTAACGCAGGGAGTAAAAACAAAATTTTGGAGAAATACTCTAATTCTGGCACATTTTTAACCTTTGATGAAGTATCTGTAGCAAAAATAACCAATAGGAAAATATTTAGACTTAAAATATTTTTTAATCCTTTCAATATGCGATTAAGAAATGGTTAAATGTGAGCTTTCTGATGGAATTAAATTTTTGACCTGGTATGACTTTTTCGACCTTTTCACCCCGTTGCTCAAAAATAACTTTGCTGACAACTGGGACCTTTCTCCAAGCAATCACACAATTGTGATGGGATATTCACCAAAGCTAGTTGATTGTGATCTGATAGTGATGGGATGTCTATTTGGTCTGGAGATGGTGGTCTGATAGTGATAGGATGTTTACTAGAGCTATGTGGTGGTGGTCTGATAGTGGTGGGATGTTTACTAGAGCTATGTGGTGGTAGTCTGATAGTGGTGGGATGTTTACTAGAGCTATGTGGTGGTAGTCTGATAGTGGTGGGATGTTTATTAGAGGTATGTGGTGGTAGTCTGATAGTGATAGGATGTTTACTAGAGCTATGTGGTAGTGGTCTGATAGTGATAGGATGTTCTTTGACTGATGGTGGTCTGACAGTGATGGGTAGTTCCCCAGAATTTGGTGATCACCAGCTGTCAGATACTGTTGGATGGTAATGATACTCAAGGGTTGGCGTGATTTATTTCCTTTTCTTCAGCTGTGCGTTGTTGTGATTATTTAAGGGAATATAAATGGTGATGTGTGGACAGGAAGAAGACGGGGGGTGGGGTAAGACAGAAGAGAACAGAAAAGAGGACGGAATGAGCGACAACGACTGAAGAAACGTTTTCTATTTTGTTTCATTGAGAATGTCATGTTTTTTGGTTGAGTCATTGAAATGTGAATTTTGGTGTTGACTCTTAGCGAATGATCAACTTCTATTGTGCCATCCAATGTTAGGTGTGTTTTCTAAGAGACGGTTTTGTTTGGTGAGTCTGTTTTTAGAGATGTTAGTGGTGTCTATGTGTGGTAAAAGATGTTAAAAGTGTCTGTGTGTTTTACTTTTTACAGTAAGTCATAGATATCTTAGAAAGCTAGACATTCTTTTTATATGAATGTCCCACTTTTTAGTTCATGAACATTTCAGATTGTGGATACAGTTAGAATTGTTTTTAAGTGCATCATGCAGGATCCTTTATTGCGAAAAGGTCAGAAATTGTAAAAGTAAATTCAAGTGTGGACTATTTCAGTACTCTGACATTTGTGGAAGTTGTTGGCTGCAGCAAGAACCTCAAGGTGGCATCATTGATGTGTTGGGGAACCTGGGCATGTGGTTGAAGTGTCTAAAGTCACTAGTGTGTCATCTGTGGTTGCATCTGGACTCATTGCTTCATCTCACATGCTGCTGATTTTTTTTTTCATGTTGTTGGCCTGTGTCTTCTCATTCTGCTGTCTGCTGAGCAGTTGCGTAGTATTGCAGCGATAGTAGTGCCTAATGGCAATATAAAATGTTGCCCATTCTTAAAAGATGGTTCAAAGAACATTCTATTTTTAGTATTTTAGTGCTACATCACAAAAATATATTTTTATAGTAGGCCTATTTTAAGTAAACTTTTCATATCTGAAGTTAATGTAGTTGAGTTCATTAAAATGCTTCAGATTTAGATTCCACCTTAACCATGGTTACTACACGAGGTCTTGTGCTATTTTCAGACCGTATGAAATGGTAGGGGTTTAAAACCCTTTTCAACACTGTTGGATTTTAGGGGAAGGACATCCGAATTAAATATCCTTCTCCGATAGGACTGAGCTAAATAGGTGGAGAGCCTTGAGAACTGCTCAAGCAACTCTAAGTTCGAGAATACCCCATTGGAGGTTCACACCTTGAGTCAACCATGTCATAGCCCAGTATGATACCTACGGAGATAACGAAATACCCTTTGTGGAAAGTAGTGGTGTGAGCATATGTGATGACTAACACTGTGCAACATGGGTACTGGTCACTCTTTGAACTTGAGTCATGCTTTTTTCACCTCTTTTCTTTGCCCTTTCTTAGTTCAGATTGTGGATGGTTGGTGGGTGCTCTGATGTGGTATGCTTCTTCTGTCCTATCAAACATCTATCGTCCTTATGTCCCTTTTTCTTTTTTATGTTTGTTACTCTCTTGTAACACCTCTAATCTTGTAGCGATCATATGACTTTATACAGTTGTGAGCGCCGTAAAACCTCTACTAAAACTAAAACTTATTTCAGATTAATGCCATCCTCTTTTTTTAACAGGTATTCTTCTTAAGCTGAGAGTAAGTTAGGTTCAGCTTGCATCTGGAGCACTGTTGTACTATGGATGTGTTACTTTCAAGTCTTCAGTTTTGTTATACCTAGCGTTGAGTGTGTGGGTGGTTGACAGGTGCTCTGGTGTGGATTGCTCCTTCTTTCCTATCAAATATTCATCATCCTCATCTCTCATCCTTCTTTTTTGTGTTTGTTACTCTCTTGTGACACATCTTTTCTTCTGCACTGAAATAACTTAATTGTGTTGCAAGTGCCGTAAAACTCTTTCTAAAACAAAGGGTTGAGCGTGAGTTATTGTGGATGTGTTACATTCATGTCTTGAGCCTCGCTGAAAGTAAGTTATGTTCGTGTTAGGTTCAGGGCTTGCATGTTGTTGTATTCTACTGTCTTGACAGTGAGTTTTATTCATGTATATTTTCTTTGAAAGACAAAGGGGTCACTATCGAATTTCAAGTGCTGAATGCAAGATTCTGACAAACTCCATTTGGCCGTTTGGTGTTTGTCAGAGTCTTGCACCCAGCCATTGATTTATCTTTGAAGATCAACAAAAATTTTAACTTAACATCTCATTCCCCGCTCATATGACCTTACGCAGTTGCGAGCGCTGTAAAAAAACATTTACCTTCTCATTCATTAGCCGTGTGTGTATATGTGTGCATGTATTGCGTTTTACATTGTAACTGGCTTTGTATCGCCTATATATAAAAGCCACGGTGTGGAGTGCCATGCTCTTGATCTCATCCCTCTTGCGCTGTGCGATTATTTTTACCATCTCGTGACTGTTTTGTTTCTGAGTGGTCTTGTTGCTTGACATAAGACATAGATTTGGGAATTCCATGTCTTTGTTTAATTATGTAAGGAACATAACAATGGAAAACAAGTTCGATATTGATAAGGTGATTGTTTCCCTTGTACAGGGGGGAGGGGGGGGGTACCCTCTCTGCTTCTGTTTTGCCCCAACATGTACAGACAAGTGGTTGGAGGGAGGTGATGTGTGTCATGTATAGTGCGTCTGTGAACATGTGTAGCTTGGCTTGTATAGGGCTCTGTGTCTTTCACATACCTCCAAGAATGGAAATAGTAAGCCTTTAACTTTATGGTATGCTTGCTCTGGCTGAATTTCAAAATTGTTGAATGTTGTCATTGTTATTTACTCTGTTGCGGGCTTGAAATATTTACCAACACTTTGCTCTCTGTTGCTGACTCATAACTCCTGC